CTCCCAGAATTCCCCAGCCAGCCATTCTGGGAGTTGAAGTCCACACATCTGAAAGCTGCCAAGGTTGAGAAGAACTGTCCTAGCCAATTTCAATCAAAATAGTTGTAGCCTTCCTGCAGAGTTGATTTCCTGATCTGGTATACCTTGTGGGGCTGACCGTGCAGGACAGGAACCAACTCCCTGGATGTTTCTTCAAGAACAGTGAGAACATCTCAAGAAGTGTTTCAAATGCCTAGCCATCCCCAGCTCCTGTGACAAGCAACATGAGAGGATTCTTTTGCTCTGGAAAGTCAAAGTTGGAGGATCTCGTCAGTTTAGATAGGAGAAAGACTTTTCTTCTAAAACGTGACTTGCATGAAAAAGGACCTGGTTGTAAAGGGGCTGCACATCTGAATACCCAAGGTGTGAAAATGTGGAAAAAGCACTTCGACACAGGACAATGGGCACATAGCATCAGGATGTTTTCCTTTGAATCAGAACCCCACCAAGTGATGGTGATGACCATCAATCTAACACTTTATTTCATGTCTTGTGTGGCTTGGATGAAGATGAAGAATATTCAGGGAGAAGGGGCTGATTCCCTCTCTCCCCATCACTGCAATACAATATTGTTTCAACCGTACAGTAAGGCATCGATCGCAAGAGAACTGTTGATTGGATCTGCATTGTCCAAGGCTAGCTAAAGGGTCCACCGCTACGATACGATTTCTCGTGGCATGATGAGAAATAGACCCACGAAATGTGCCTTATCCTCAAAACCCATTCCAGGCTGAGAGAGAGTTCTACACATCGTTGACATGGGGGTCAGCCCGGGTGCCTGTGCATGTGTGTGTATTTTGTCCAACATGTCATACAAGCATGATTGTCTCCTCAAAGGATAGAAGTGGGGTTGGGGACCTCACCTCCCATATGTTACAAGACACGGTGTCAACCAGTTCAGGAGAAACACACCTGGCCAGTCCACAGAGCAAAAGGTCATCTTCAACTCCTTTTAGTTCCATCAAGAAGTTAAGGGAGAGCTTTTGTAAACCACAACCTGTGGACCGTTTTGAATTCTGTACATCAGAACCCAACAGTTGAAATCCTGCTTTACAGGTGGTGCTGTAACAGGAGGATCCTCACGTAGAAACGTCTTCGGTGCTCAGCATTCACAAACAGGTCAGGGTTCAGGAAGAGACTCAACTTTGACTGAAGGAGGCCTGCCTTAGGGCTTGGAAGAAGGAAGAGGGGACACCCCAGAAGACTGCTATAGAGCATTCCTTACCCAATTCTACGTTTAGTTAAAGAAACAACCATCTCCTCTCCTAGAACGACAGTGAGAATGAACGACTGGTTTGTTCATTTCTCCTGTTGATGGCAGTTGCACAGTTAACTTCCAGGTGTGACAATCAAGAAGAAATTAGACCTATTCTAGCCCACCCATTTTACTTACTCTCTCTCTCTCTCTGTTTGTTTCCATTCAATCTCAAGAAGTCGTTTTTCCCCACTAAAAAAAAAGTTGCCTCTGGTTCATCTCCTACATGGGAGGGAGTTGCATTTTTACTTGCATGTGTGAACATCATAGATCCTTATACACTCCTGGCAGCTGACGTAGCAACACCAGTGGAAGATACAATGACACTTCTCCTTCCTCTTCTCAGTCCTCGTGTTGTGTCCGCGGCCACAGCACAGGAGGTCACAGCCATCAATGCCGTGGGAGCTGATGTTGCAGATTCGGTCGCGGGTGCCAAACGAGCCGGTTTCAGGGTTGGGCTCGCAAAAGTTTGGGGAGTTCTCATAATAGACCAGGTCCCGCTCCGTCGGCGCTTTGAAGAAATTATATTTGGGTCGCAGCGTTTCTACCCAGCCGCGGGACTCTCGATGCTTCTCCACCACCATCTCAGACGCGCTGTCGTATTTATCCTTGAGGTAGTCTCCAATGACCCGGAAATCTGGCTGAGACCACCAACAGGTCTTGACCTCACAGCTGCCCGACAACCCATGGCACTTGCATTTGAGGTGCATGTGGTCTAGGATGGACTGAAAAAGAAAGAAAGAAACAAAAAACAGAGGGGGAGGGAGAAGGAGAAGTGAGAACATCAGTTGACCTTGTGAGTCAATATTAGAACTGGTGTCCTAAAGGGTTGGAAGATTGTGGATAACTCAGAACCTGTTAGTCCTACTAGGTAGACCAGAGCAGGAACTCAACTCCACAGGAAGGCTAAAGCTACTTTGACTGAGATGGGCTAGAATAACATAATCTCTCAAGTCGGATTGTGCTGGACCTCCTCCCCCTTCTTATACTCCATTGAACTAGGGAGGTGTCTGCCTGATCCGCTTCTGAATGTTACCTGGATGTTCTGGACTTAAAAAGTGTTTCAGCCCTTTTTGCCTAGGGAACAGTCAAGGTCATCTTCCTTACTGTCTACAACAGTGTTTCTCAACCTCAGCAACTTTAAGATGGGTGGACTTCAACTCCCAGAATTCTATGCTGGCTGGGGAATTTGGGGAGTTGAAGTCCACCCTTCTTAAAGTTGCTGAGGTTGAGAAACACTGATCTACAGATCCTTCAAATGAGTCGAAGTAGAAGCCAGTGCCCCCTAACTGAATTTCCACTCCTCAATCTGTCTGGGCAAACCACCTGCTCTGTTCTCTGCTTCATTTTTGCCCAAAATGGGCCATAACAGGTGGGCTGCAGTGAGGGAAGGCCTCTTGGACCCAAACAAGAAATACTTAAAATTGCATATTTTCAAGATCTATCTATCTATCTATCTATCTATCTATCTATCTATCTATCTATCTATCTATCTATCTATCTCATCTGAAGGTCCAGCTAGGAGGCAGCCTGTAGCTAACCTTGGCTGAGGAGCACCAAAGTGAAGCAAAATCAGACCTGGATGGCAGAGGTATTGGACGTGGATCCATTGCTTGTGGGTCACTGTCAAGAAAACAGTACGGATGTGTCTATGCGTCAATCTCAAATTGAAGGACACTATCATTTGATGGGGACAGCAGGAAGGGAACCCAAAGCTGAGGACACGATCCTTACCGTCCGTCCAGCTTCGTTGTTGTGCCTGTTCATGGCTGAGCGAGCGTCTGGCCTGTTCTCCCGCGCATCTGCAAACTCCCGGGAAACCATGCTCCCAAACTCCACGTCCTCGCTGCAGCCACCCCACTTCCAGCCTTCTCCGGGGGGACCTTTGTGACGGGTGTCACAGCCGCAGATGGTGGCGGATCCTTCCGCGCAGGATCGTGTCACTGCAAAGGCCACCCCGGCCGAAGCAATGGCATGGACGAAGGCTGACTCCCTGGTAGCTGTGGGAAGAGAGACAACACCACGTCTCACAGCTCAGACCGGGCAGAACATTGCAAGCAGGTCTCCCCAATCTGCTGACCTTCAGGCGCGTTGAACGATTGCTTGTTGTTCCTTCTGGCTGGGGATTATCGCAGCCAACAGATCAGAGGAGGTGGAAATGTGTAAAGCAGCACTTAGATGTTTTGGAAATCAAAGCTGTTCTGAAATCGTGTTCTGTACTGGTGGTGGGGATGCTCACCTGCTTTTTTCTAAAACTGGAATCTCTTCTGGAAGGTGTAACGCTGCTTTTGGGGCACCCTGGCTGAGAAAGCAGGCAAGAAGGAATCCTAGAATCCTAGAGTTGGAATGCACCAGAGAGGCCGTCTAGTCTGACCCCCTGCTAAGTCCAAGATCCACATTTCTGACAGATGATCATCCAGCCTCTGTTTGAAGATCTCCAGCAAAGGAGAACTCCCCAGTTCACGTGGCAGCCCATTCCACCGGCTGACAGTTCACATACAGGTAGTCCTTGCTTAACAACCATTTGTTTAGCAGCCATTCAAAGTTGCAACGGTGCTGAACAAAGGGACTTACAACCGGTCCTCGCACTTACAACTGTCGCAGCACCTCCGCAGTCATGTGATCGCGATCTGGGTGTTTGGCAACCAGCTCACGTTTATGACGGTTGCAGCATCCCGGGGTCACATGATCGCCATTTATGACCTTCCCAGCCGGCTTCCGGCAAGCAAAATCAATGGGGAACTGCATGATTTGCTTAAGACTGTGGTGATTCGCTTAACGACCCTGCAAAAAAGGTCGTAAAATCAGGTGTGACTTGCTTAACAACTGCCCCACTTAACAACGAATTTTCCAGTCCCTATTGTGGTCATTAAGTGAGGACTACCTGTAGTCTGGAAATTCATGTTCATGACTAGCTTCAACCTCCTTCCTCGCAATTTTAGCCCCTTGGTCTCCATCCTGCCCTCCAGACCAGCTATAGACCTAGCGAATGCACTCATTTAACATGCTAAACCTGGGTTAGTTTTTGGGGGACGGCAGGTGTCGTGCAAACCTATGGAGTGCAACTGGTGATTTTTAAAAATCTGATGATCTGAAAAGTTCTTAACAGGAAAATAGTTTGGGGAAATTTCCTTTTTATTGTGCAGCACTGTTCCAAACAGGTAAGAGATGGAAATTCCCCAGGAGGCTGACCTGACAGGTTTATCAGCCGAACTGGAAATGCAGTTTTATGCTATCTTTAAATTCACACCTGCCCGCTGGCTGTTTTTTTCAGACTTGTGGAAAGATAAACCCAAATCCAAATGCGCTTTCGCAGGGCCATTCCAAATGTTTGCATTAAAGGTCGCACGTCCACAGCCTCTTCAAAGTCCAGAAGCTTCCAGAAATAAGGAGTTTTGTTTTAATCGCACCATCTCAGGCACGTGTCCCACGAGGCGGTTCACACACATCCTACCTGCTTAACCGTAATGGAGGTAGCCAGTTTCGCCTTAGCAAATGTGACCCACCCAGTGCAGTTTATGTCTGAGCCAGACCACAGGCACTTGTCCAACAAACCATGATTTTTTTTAAAATCTGATTTTGTATTAAATAAACCAGGTCATTCGCTAGGATGTGTCCTTTCACACGTAGCAGTAATCTCTCAATGAGACGGGGTGGGCAATTCTCAAAGGATACGCTCCCTCTTAAAAATCTTAACCCACAAGGCCCGTTCAGACGTGGCCTTAAACTCATGCAGAATGCAAATGGAAGACATTTTTGATGGAGATTTAGAGGTAAAAGTTATGCGCTCGAGTGTATCCTTCAAAACCAGATTTTTTTAAAAAAAGTATTCAATATGAGTCTTTAGCTGATAGAACAGGAAAAAGAGAGAGTGTCAATTCTAAGGGGGGGGGGGAAATTGGCTGGGAAATATGGCTGGGTCAAAGGGCAACCCCTAGCCCACGATGGCAGATCTCAGAGTTGGACCTGGATGGGAGACCACCAGGAAATGCCAGGCAGTCAGGAAAAAAATCCCACAAGATGGCCGTGGCAATTCCTTTCTGTGCTGTGGCCAAGAGGAAGACTTGGTTGTGCCTATAAAGCATCAGGATTCAAGTGGACTTGAAGGAGATGGGTTTGCCCAACTTGGGGGCCAAAATCTAAGCGGACCTTGGCTGATCTCCTAAGCGTGAAGAAGGAACGGATCTGGCTCGGATTGTGTTGGAGGCACCAAGAAATGCCAAGGGTGACCTAGAACAGGGTGTTTTGTGCTGTCTTTGGTGGAACCCGGTGGAACGTGATGGGGTTCTTAAGAGACAAAAAAAACCCACCTTTCCCTCGAACACAACCAATTTTCTATTCCTAGATCAGTGTTTCTCAACCTTGGCAGCTTTAAGCTGGGTGGACTTCAACTCCCAGAATTCCCCAGCCAGCTTGCTGGCGAACCCGGTGGAACGTGATGGGGTTCTTAAGAGACAAAAAAACCCCACCTTTCCCTCGAACACAACCAATTTTCTATTCCTAGATCAGTGTTTCTCAACCTTGGCAGCTTTAAGCTGGGTGGACTTCAACTCCCAGAATTCCCCAGCCACCAACTTTGTGACAGTTCATTCTCTTGTTTGCATTTTCATGGTAGACGCAGGAAATGAATGACAGCCTTCTAGAGCGAACTTCAGGAAGAAAGTCCAATTTTGGCACTTTGGACCCTGCTGGGTGGCACCGTCAGCAGGACCCTTCCTTTCTTGTGGCTTTGAGGAGGGGAGGGGAACAGGAGACGAAGCCCCCAGCCTCTCCAGAAGATCTTCCAGCTTCTCACCTTCCCGGCCCCTGATGGTTAAGAGCAGACCTGACCCTTCTGAGCTCCAGTGAGCCTGCCTCAGGCTTTGTGGACGGGGGGAAGAAGAGAGAAACAGGATGAGAAGCACGCACTTGTAATGGAAGTGAGGGGTTATTAAGGTGCCATATAAAAATGTAAGCGCTTTGACAGAGATAAGAGGAGGGAGAGCTGGGGGCATATTTGTTCGCCAGCCTGGGTGGTTTTCAAGAGGTGCTGCAGAGACAAGCAGCAGGTCATGACTTGAGATGTTAGAAGAAGGCCTTCTGGAAGGTTGGCTGGCTGGGGGTGGGGGGTGGGTGGGCCGAAGGATGTGGGAAGGCAGAGCTTTTGAAACTAGGATGCATAAGGCCTCCGCCTTTGGCAGACACCTCTCCCTGCACATCAAAGCCCCCCTCTAGGAGATACAAGGCTTTGAGGAACCCTGTAGGTGCAGTTGGACATGTCTGGGAAAGGTGGAAGGAAAGAGAAGAAGAGGATGACCAGCAGCAAGGGGGATGGATTCAATTATGGTGGTGATGGAGGCACCATTGGAAGATCTGAAGGACCAGGTTGGGGATAGTTCATCCTGGAGAAGATCTATCTATGTGGTCGATAGGAGTCAAAAACAACTGGATGGCAATCAGTCAATCTATCTATCTATCTATCTATCTATCTATCTATCTATCTATCTATCTATCTATCTATCTATCTTGCTGGTGAAGCCTTGTTCCTTGAAGGGTGATCTTGGAGCTAGAAGCCCCCGAGAAAAGATTGCCAGCAGCTCTCCTTGGAAGAAAAAGATCTGTGGAATTAATTTGCTCTGCACTGAAGAGTGTCTACAGCACAGAATGGGACCTTCTTGACCAGTGTCCATATTTGGCCTCCTTGGGCAACTGCTAGGCTCCTCAAGTGGTGGCACCATGTTTTTCAGAGTTGGCAACTTTAAGATGGGTGGACTTCAACTTCATGCTGGCTGGGGAATTCTGGGAGTTGAAGTCCACTCATCTTAAAGTGGCCGAGTTTGGACAACACTGCTTTAAGGGCACCAAAAGCTGTCTGATGACCATGCTGGACATTTGATAATCCAGCACAGTTCTTTAAGGTCTATGACAACAAAAAGGACATTTTCCTTCACCTCTACTGAATTACAGTAATAAAAAAAAAAAAAAAGATTTGCATTCATATTTATTTTGTTTTACAGCATTGGTTCTTTCCCACAAGAGCAGGGCTAAAAATGCATATCACAAAATAAAACCCAAAGTTGGTTGTTTTGCTTTGTTTGTAAAATGATTCCATGCCTAAGCTGACATCCCATTGGAAGCACATTGGTTAATCCTCTAGCAGCTGCCTTCAGACTATCTGCAAAGCCTGGTTAATGTTCAGTCCAGTCTGGTGGTTAGTAGAAGGTCCCCTGGATAATGGGAACCCCGAAATGGATTAATTCAGGAAGCAAGCAATTAATGAGGTAGAGAAGCAGCAAATGCTTGTTTAATCCTAGCCAACTCTGAAAGGCTGTTAGACAGGTTTTGTGAAGAGCTAAAGCAATCTTCTTTAACTTCAGGCCTTCTGTCTTGAGATGTTAAATATGTCTTATGATCCTCCTGAATCATTAGAGTAAAATTCCATGTTTGTTATCAACATTTTATGCTTTCCCCCCACCCTCCCTGCAGATTCCCCACATTTCTTCTGTTTGTACTTAGCAGTGTTCAATTCCTCGTTAAAATCTGGAGCAGAATGAACAGCAAATTGAAAAACGCAATCTTGGTTAGTTTAATTTTTAATTTATTTTTGTTCTTCTAATGTCCCTTTGCATTCTCTTCCCAATGTATGAGATGATGTATCCATTTATATGTACCTTGCATGTTTTCTTCTTGGTAATACAGCTTGTCAGATTTAATAGGAATGTCAAAATAGAGCATGGCAAAGAACTGGCAATTGTTCTGTTCTTCTCTGGAATATGGCAAAACTGTCTTAATCCATACCCTTCCTGAACTCTTTCCAAAAGTAAATTCCCCACATTGGAAACACTTCACGGTGTCCCAAACGTTCTGTTCCCAAATTGCTGAATTCTGTACATCCCCAATTTGAAACTATTTTGGAAGCTCGTTTTATATTTATATATATGTGTGTGTGTGTGTGTGTGTGTGTGTGTTCATATATGTGTATGCATGTGTATATGTGTTTGTGTGTCTATATAATATCAAG